GTTGATTTTAATAATGCATTAGTAAATGTTGAAATTAACATGAACTAAGATTAGAACTATTGTTCATTCTTAGTTCATTAAATAAAGTAGTTAACTAATGAACCTTATTGTAAAGTGTTACCAATATTAATATAAATTCTGTCCAGTTTTATTGTGTTACTTTCAGTAAAAGTGTGGTTATTTTATTGGCTTTTGTTTTTTTAAATTCAGGTTCGTTAAAATTTAGTTAAAATTAAAAAGTCTTACAAAATTACTTTATATTATTTAATAAAATAATAAATAATCATTACAAAACATTTTCGGTTTCAGTTTTTGGCCAAGTGCATCCAGAATTTTCGGTTTCCATTTCGGCCCAGAATTTTCATTTCGGTGCATCCCTAGATGTAAGACTACATGTTTTATTTAATTTAAATTGAATAGTAATTTACTTTCAAATGCCCCAATTGCTGAAGGTCTGCACAACTTTTTAGTACAATTTCAAGTTGCACTGTTCAAAATACCTGTAGTAGCACAGCACTGCATACCTGTTTACATTTAATTAAGGTGGACTAGATTAGACTGTAATACAAATAGTTGAGTTTGCCAGGTGCATACAACATTTATGACAGGTTTTCAATCACAGCACATTTCGTATTTCAGAAGGCGGGCCTTCATTTGATACAAGGACTATTCGAGCCGTTCAGGCCAGACTGGCGAGAGAGGTGTTGTAATAATGTAACATATGTGAAAAATAATGTGTTTTTCGAACAACCTAGTATGAGAGCCTGTTCTAGTACACCCCCAAAACAAGACTTTGAAAAAGAGCATAATAGGACCCCTTTAAAGGTCTCATATTGTCAAAACAGAAATATCCTGGCTTTTTTCATGATTACTAGGGTCTAGGGGCTATTAAACATCTTCTGCTGTTCTCCATACATACAAAATAAGTTGACACAATGTTTACAGTATGTTTACACGGCGTTTTAAATAATGGCGGGTGAGGGCGTTTTCATTCGCGTTTGGCCAATCAATGTCTACTTACGTCACGATTAGTACCAGTTGTGCTGGTTAGACCCTGCTCCGGAGTAGGAGCTAATTTGGTTCTCGAAAAAGGCAGTCCGGTACTAAAATCGCACCCAGTTCCGGCGGTGCGAAAACGCCAAAAAGTGGGAAGTTCCACAATTAGTTCTGGTACTATGAAAAGGTTCCTGCGGTGCGAAAGGCCCTCTTGTTCCCGTTACTTACCCCCTCTGGGACTGCAGGTGTTTCTCAAGCTCTCTGTGTCATGGGGTGCCGCTGCGTCCCAGGACATACAGGTGGAGGTAGTGGAGTTCCACACGCACTTCACGCCGGGCACAGCCGTCACACACTCCAGCTGCCCCGAGAAAGCAGCGCAGCTCGCAGGGGTGAAACTCAGCACATCGCTGAGCATCAGGCTGTTAAAGCCTCCATACACGTACATCACCCTGACACACACGCACAGAAAGAGACAGAGATTAACCTCGAGTATCTTTGAAGGAACGGGAGAGGTATGAAGGGTGAGGAGGAAGAGGGCAGTGTGAATGAGGAAGAACATGAAAAGAAAGTTGGGAGGAGTGATGAATAAAGCGTGTGAGACTGACAAGTCAAACAGCAAAAGCAGTGTTGTACCACAGCTCCCCACAGAGGGGTCACTCAGTGGTCATATCGGCACTGACAATGACGCTGGGAATTATGGGTAAGAATACAGATCACAGTGAGCTCACATCAAAATCTCACAAGAGTCTTCAAGACAGTCTTCTGTGAGAGTGTGTGACTGTGTGGATAAGTGCGGTTAGAAGACTCATGTTTGTTCAGCTGGCAATGTGAAGCACTAATGAGACATGTTATTTATGGATAATGATTCTGCTTTTGACTAATCCGTATGGAAGGAGATTACAGGCAGATTTAAACATAGACTTCATATTCAAATATCACAGAAATAGAAACGCTTTTAAAAAGGAACATTCAGGACTCAATACAACAGGAAATCATTTTGACTCCGTTTGTAACAAATCAAACAGCCTGTTTACAGTTTATATGGCAAGTTTGCCGGAGTGTTTGAAAGCAAAAATATGATGCTCTTATTTTGTTAAATCCCTTTAATGAATTATTCAGTGCAAATTATTAGCATTTGAGTTGATTTGGTTTCTAGGTAGATGATGGTTTCTTTAGTTATGTGATATACTGTACTATAAGTGGGACTGAATATTTTCACATACTGAGCACATATAAATTATTGAGATTACCCATTGTGATACACAGCTGAGTGGCCAAAACGGTTGACGTCATGGTGAAGATCTGGATGGGGCAGTACAATCCACTCATCACAAGCTAGAAAAGAGAAAATGGTAGACAAAGTGAATCTCAGGCAGTGCTGCCCGAATACATTTTAGAGACATCACTACAGAGAAGAGCTCATGAATATTAATGAACGAAGACTAATCGTTGCTCAGTAATCTCCACTCACATTACCCAATTAATATCCGTAAGTCCAACCTTCACATAAACTGATGACCTGCGCAGAAGTGCAGGGCCTATAAGGCACCTTTACTTGTACTCTAAAATGAAATAACACTGTAATACTACGCAATATGGGATAAAACGGAATGTTCCCAGTTCCCTGCATCTTTCTCACCATGGTTTGTAAGATGAGCTGTTTGCATTTTCTGAGCTGACCCTTAATATTGAATCATCTCTTTCTTTAGATGTTAAATAGAAGGAGTTAGTGGCTAATCTAACAGGAGTAAGAGAAGCATGAATAGAAATTATAGCGATTAGTGCAGTACAGTATGTGTGACAAGTCACTGCCCCCTGCTGACAAACTTTCTGACAAATCGAATTCAGCATCCTGGTGTGGGCCAGTATAACGGAGTTCAGCTCGTAAGGACAGAGCAATTACCCTCAGGGTCGAGAAAGGCCTCTACTTAATTACAGATTACCACAGCGCTCGCCTGAAACTCAAAAGAGAAGTTGGCAAGGGAAGAACAAGAGGAAGAAATTTTTAAGTGGAGTGAAATATAATGATGAATAAGCAAACGCAGACACTTCTGATATGTTTGAAGCTTCCTGTGTATTATACAGGCAATACAAACTCCTCAAAGACGCTCGGAATTTCAACCCACGCATCATATTCTCACATTCAAGAGCCGCCGTATTCAAGTGCTCGTAGTGCATCTATTCTGACATCATACTCATAGCATCCCTCATTATCTAAATGAAAAGCGAGATAATAGCACCAGACAGGCATGTCTCCGATCCCTGGAGATTACAAAACTCAAATGTGTCACTCATAAAATAATGGCTTCAAGATCACGCATCCTTCTGCAAGAAGCCCCCCTGATGAGTGTATTTCGGTCTCTAATGGCTTGCTGCTACACGCACAGAAATCCAATTATGGTTTCTGCGCGAGTGTCTCTTCTGCTGTTCAATATTGTGAAAGACAGAGATATTATATTCATATGAAGCCATACAAGAGAGGATGCAGTAAGCGAGCGATTTAGAATGTAAAAAGTTCTTAAAATGTAGGCGAATGACAGTTTAAGAAAAATCTCACTACATAATCATTCAATACAGTTATTTTGCTGGAAAGTGAATTACATTCTTTACGTCCGATTTTAAAAACTTGTTGGAAGCAATAAAAAAGTATTACAAATGAATAGGTTTAAAAGGCCTGTTCATGCTAAGACGTTGGGCCATATAATTAATTGCTCTTCACTATTGTTCAGCATTAAAGATTATTCATGAGCGGCAGCAAGTTTTATGTACCAGCAGCTCTGCCTAGGTCAAATCCAGAATTGGCTCTCTGGTCTCTGCACTTTTATAATTGGTGCTGGAAATACAAAATCTGAATGGCCATTTCTGCTTTTCTATAAGCGCCATCTATTGTAAGAAATTGAATCTGCATTTTTTTTTTTGTGAACTCACCTGCTGGTTTTTTGGGGGGGTTTTTTTACACAATAATCTGAACAGACAAATCGCATGCGAAAATCGGACAAACAAATGTGTTGCTGTGAATAGGTCTTTACGGTCACATTATCTTCAAAAAATAAGACTCGAGAGTACAACCTCCTAATTTTGAATGGATAAGTCACATTATTGTATATATAGTTAGGCTGCCCAGTAATACACAGATGTACGGAACACTTGTGGTTTGAACATGCAGGTGACAAAGACGGTGTCTGGTACTCACCTATGCTGTATGTTATGAAGTCTGAGGAGAAGCATTTCGCCCCATGGCTCATTGAGGTGTCGTTGTGCGTGTTCCCTCCAAACACCAACATGTTCCCGCCAACAATCACCGCCGTGTGGAGGTAACGGAAAAAACCACTGTCCCTCAGAATCAACCTACAGATTAATCAGAGACATTATTAGCAGGAAACCCAGAGAAAGCAAAAAAAGACTATGATCATAGCAGCATGCTAGCATAACAAGTACTACTGTTGTAGGTTTTTTTTTTTTTTACACAATATTGGATTAAAAAAAGCTAATTAAGCAGGCTCTCCATTTTAAGCCTAGCCTTAAATTTATGAAGTCAAAAAGTAATCAGTATTAAATTAAATTAAATTAAATTGTGTTATGCTGCTCAACGCACCACATTCTCTTGTCCACATCATAGCGGTACAAGTCCCCGGCCAGGCCGTATTTATTGGCACTGAAAGCTTTATAGCCTCCATGGATGTAGATGGAGCGGGTTTGAGGATCATACACACTGCTGTGCCCATAGCCACCCTGAACCAGCGCCCCACGAGTCTCTAAAACACTCCATGTGTTCTTTACTGCAAAGGGAAGAGTGAAAAGTACAGGATGAGAGATAGTGAAGAAAGAAACAACTAGTTCTCCTAAAAAAAAAAAGTTACACATTTTTTGTTTTGCTTTTCCATTACAACACTAGAGGGCAGTAGAGTAAACAATTCCTGCAAACAGACCAGAACAGGGATAATTGCCACATGAGGAAGAACTACATTAAGGGTTTGAGACAAGTGTCTAATTGAATAAATGCTTGTTTTCCCTAGCAGGGGTTTTGTATGCTGATTTCAAACCACACTGGCATCCAGAAATCAAAGTGAAAACCAGCCCCAGTCTCCTCTCTCTCTCCATCACAAATGACAGCAACAATCAATCATGAAAACAACTGCACTTTTTTTTCCCCAACTGCAAAACATTTTACACAATTGAAAACTAATATCAAAAAGGGCCTCATTTTAATTTTGTGATGAATGACAAGTGTCTGCGGTACCTAGAGGTCTGATTCATCAGACAGAAACTGGGTCACAACTGTTCACTGTGACTTTCAGTCCGTGATAGCACTCAATATTCTGAAAAGGATTAGGGTGCTTTCACATAGGATGAATTCTTCCTTTCAAACAGATAGGCTGAATGGAACAGTACACAGGTGTCCCGAGGCCTGTTTTTTAAAAATGCCGTTTAAAAAAAAAAAACCTTTTTGTGCATGACGCAAGATGCTGAAAAGGAAAACATGTGGTGTAGCAGCCATGTATATGACCGGAGACGAGTAATTAAATAAAAGATTTATTTTGATATACAATATGATATTTTTTTGTCCCATCTGTGGCTATGGTTTGTTATCACTGTCAATCATCACATTTTCAGATTCAATCCCACATTTAAATACAGCTGTCAATTTCTGAAAGCAGCCAAACAATCCCTTTGACGCCGTCATATTTGTGAGATGTAAAATGGTGAAATTGGTTTAACTAAGTTAAACTTTTAATGTTATTGCAATATTCACACTATTCCCTAATCTTATAACGTCAGTAAAATTATGGCGATAATATTCAAGGTATCAGCCAGCTGTTGAGCATTTAACACTACTGTGCGCTACTGACCAATGTCGTACTGCTGCACTTGGCTGATGTATCCGTAAAGAGGGCAGTGTCCGAAGACGACCAGTATGACGGGCTCTGATCCGTCGGGATGGAGCTGGACAGTGTGTGCAGAATGGCCCACGACGGCATACTGTTCTTTAGCACGCGGATTCAGCAGAACCCAAGACTGGTTCCATGTGTGGAACACCCAGAGTTCTGATGTCACGTTTCCTGTGGAGTCAATCTTCCCACCGTACATATAGATTTTATCCTGTACGCACGCACACAAAGACAAATTACTTATGAAATCACAAGATTTAGAGAAACAGGTCTCAGTTCAGTGTATGTAGGGAATAAATACATCGGACTGTAATAAAGACATTTGAGTTGATGAACACTATTAATCAACCTGTCATCGATTGACAAACCTCATGCAGGGAGAGAGAATGACCGTAGCGTCCAGTTACAGAGTTGACGGACCGGTTTAACGACATCCAGCTTTGAGAGGAGATGTTGAACCTGAGGAATAGACAAAAAGAGTAAAGGAGAAAGTAAAGCTGTGAGCCTGTAAGGTTATTATGCTCCAGTGCATTTTGGTTAAGTATGTGTGAGTGTACTCACGCAGTCACCATCTGGTAGTGTGTGTAGTTAAACATATGTCCACCTATCACCCACATCACGTCTTCATGAACCACAGCCTTATGGGACGCCCGCACCAAGCCATGCCCGCTGTATTCCTCACGTGTCCAGAAGGAAACATTTGCTGGTACAGTTATTGAGCAGTCCAGGCCTAAAATACACACACACACATGTTGTCATTAGGGCAGGGTGAGAAAATAATATACTTTACAATGTGAAAGTTTGAGGTGTTTTTTTTAAGCAACTATTATATGTACATACATGCATACACACGCATACACACACACACACACACAGGAGATGTTGAACCTGAGGAATAGACAAAAAGAGTAAAGGAGAAAGTAAAGCTGTGAGCCTGTAAGGTTATTATGCTCCAGTGCATTTTGGTTAAGTATGTGTGAGTGTACTCACGCAGTCACCATCTGGTAGTGTGTGTAGTTAAACATATGTCCACCTATCACCCACATCACGTCTTCATGAACCACAGCCTTATGGGACGCCCGCACCAAGCCATGCCCGCTGTATTCCTCACGTGTCCAGAAGGAAACATTTGCTGGTACAGTTATTGAGCAGTCCAGGCCTAAAATACACACACACACATGTTGTCATTAGGGCAGGGTGAGAAAATAATATACTTTACAATGTGAAAGTTTGAGGTGTTTTTTTAAGCAACTATTATATGTACATACATGCATACACACGCATACACACACACACACATACATATAGAGCTACTAGCTAGTTGGAAACTCACAATTATGAAACCTCAGTCTTGTGACATAATATACAAAGAGTCAAAATGGCCACAGCCTCAACAGTTATAAGTAGTAAGGAGGAATACATTTGTGTTTCATATGCCATTTTTACTGTAGCTGATGCTACCTGGTGCACTTTTCTTAATATTTCAAGGTCATCATAGGTCTATTTTGAAGTTGTAAGTGTTGCCATAGAAGCAAATAATTACTGAGTCCGAGGCAGTGAGCACCAATAACTGGGTGTTTCTTCAACGATGGGCATTTTAACCCTGCCAACTAGAATATATATATTAGGGCTGCACGATAAATCGCATGCGATATTTAATGATGGTAAAACTCCATCACGTGCGTGCTTTCACATGGAGCAGCATTAACTACACAGAGCCGTTGTTCACTGACGAGCTGCGCAAAAAATGGCACAAATATGAACGTGGTTGTCAGTGAACAGCGGCTTTGTGTAGTTAATGCTGCTCAATGTGAAAGCCTGCACGTGATAGAGATTTACCACTGATTACAGAACCAGCTTTACTGATAAGATGCGCGTTAAATATTGCATGCGATTTATCGTGCAGCCCTAGCTAGGACCAATAATCATGGGCTGTTTCTTCATTAGGGTTACAGGGCGATGCACCACCAAAGTGCGAAAGGGAGGGATTTTTTTCTATCACATTCAACCACAGCTGTCACTGTTCTAGACTGTTTGTTCTGCCTCTTGATATATAGTCCAACCAAGTCCACTCTTTATAAAACAATAAAATTGAAGCTGCACAAAAGGGCTGTGCTTAAAAATATAAAACATTACAGGAAACCAGGGAGGAACTTGAAACATGAGTCAGTTCTGAGTGTGGCTCAACCTGCTGTTCACAGACTGGTGATTAAACACTTCCACAGGAGAGAGAGGAGGAGAGGAGAGGAGACAAAGATGGACAGACAGACCGAGAGAACTGACCTAAAACTGAGGTTTAGTGGCTGCTTGTCATAATTACCAGAATTACAATTAAAAACAGTTCACGTCTTTGTCGACCTTGTGATTGCTAGTTGGAAACTCACAATTATGAAACCTCAGTCTTGTGACGTAATATATAAAGAGTCAAAATGGCCACAGCCTCAACAGTTATAAGTAGTAAGGAGGACCACATTTGTATTTCATATTCCATTTTATTGTAGCTGATGCTACCCGGTGCACTTTTCTTAATATTTCAAGGTCATCATAGGTCTATTTTGATGTTATAAGTGTTGCCACAGAAGCAAATAATTACTGAGTCTGAGGCAGTGAACAACTCAAAGTAGAGTCTGCAAATAACTGTGTGTTTCTTCAACGATGGGCATTTTAACCCCACCAACTAGAAAATAAACTTTTTGAACATTTTTGAAATACAACAGCCAAAGGGTGAATTTCTCAGCTGGCATTTATGCATCCAAAATAGGGATGGGCATTCCAAGCAAAAATAATATTCGAAAATCGCTAGATATTATTCAATTATTATTCGAAAATCGCACCCCTCCCCGCATGCACGCACAAACACCCCATAAACAGAGAGAGAGAGAGATGGGATTCATGCTTTCAATCTGTATGATAAACTGTTTAATTCAGAAGATAGGCTATTAACTCAAGCCATATAATGATCGTAACATGCTGAAACATACCAACTGCCCATAAGGCTAGGACATATCCATTTAAAAAAAATTGAATTGGGAATAGATACAAGATGGGAGGAAAAATATACTTCAATATCTTCTGTCGCAATTATATCGTTGGGTAATTATACTGTATGTAAACTGCGGGCATCAAGGAGTCGTTATTAATATGCGGGGCATTGAAATATCAATGCGCGCTTGTTTTTTTTACTTTCACTTTCGAGATTCGCGATCACATACGGAGCAGCACTCGGCAGTACTTACCACACATTTTACAAGATTAGATGTTTTGTCAGTGGTGCTCAGGATCTGCAAATCATTCGCCATCATCCTATCAGTCATCTCTCCTTACTCTGTGTATGTAGTAAGTGAAATGTTATGTACTGTAATGTAACAGGCTAACGTTAGCAAGTGGCTAACCATGTCCCTTTAGTGGCTCCGTAGAACGTGCTATTTGTTTTCCGCGCCTTTCTGAATACGGATTCAGCCACACCTCTAACCCAGTCGGGGGTGTTTGAGTTCTGAGTGTGGCTCAACCTGCTGTTCACAGACTGGTGATTAAACACTTCCACAGGAGAGAGAGGAGGAGAGGAGAGGAGACAAAGATGGACAGACAGACCGAGAGAACTGACCTAAAACTGAGGTTTAGTGGCTGCTTGTCATAATTACCAGAATTACAATTAAAAACAGTTCACGTCTTTGTCGACCTTGTGATTGCTAGTTGGAAACTCACAATTATGAAACCTCAGTCTTGTGACGTAATATATAAAGAGTCAAAATGGCCACAGCCTCAACAGTTATAAGTAGTAAGGAGGACCACATTTGTATTTCATATTCCATTTTATTGTAGCTGATGCTACCCGGTGCACTTTTCTTAATATTTCAAGGTCATCATAGGTCTATTTTGATGTTATAAGTGTTGCCACAGAAGCAAATAATTACTGAGTCTGAGGCAGTGAACAACTCAAAGTAGAGTCTGCAAATAACTGTGTGTTTCTTCAACGATGGGCATTTTAACCCCACCAACTAGAAAATAAACTTTTTGAACATTTTTGAAATACAACAGCCAAAGGGTGAATTTCTCAGCTGGCATTTATGCATCCAAAATAGGGATGGGCATTCCAAGCAAAAATAATATTCGAAAATCGCTAGATATTATTCAATTATTATTCGAAAATCGCACCCCTCCCCGCATGCACGCACAAACACCCCATAAACAGAGAGAGAGAGAGATGGGATTCATGCTTTCAATCTGTATGATAAACTGTTTAATTCAGAAGATAGGCTATTAACTCAAGCCATATAATGATCGTAACATGCTGAAACATACCAACTGCCCATAAGGCTAGGACATATCCATTTAAAAAAAATTGAATTGGGAATAGATACAAGATGGGAGGAAAAATATACTTCAATATCTTCTGTCGCAATTATATCGTTGGGTAATTATACTGTATGTAAACTGCGGGCATCAAGGAGTCGTTATTAATATGCGGGTCATTGAAATATCAATGCGCGCTTGTTTTTTTTTACTTTCACTTTCGAGATTCGCGATCACATACGGAGCAGCACTCGGCAGTACTTACCACACATTTTACAAGATTAGATGTTTTGTCAGTGGTGCTCAGGATCTGCAAATCATTCGCCATCATCCTATCAGTCATCTCTCCTTACTCTGTGTATGTAGTAAGTGAAATGTTATGTACTGTAATGTAACAGGCTAACGTTAGCAAGTGGCTAACCATGTCCCTTTAGTGGCTCCGTAGAACGTGCTATTTGTTTTCCGCGCCTTTCTGAATACGGATTCAGCCACACCTCTAATCAACCCAGTCGGGGGTGTTTGTGGTCCACACAGAGCTCTTATTTGACATTGTCCCAAATTACTGTAACCATTATATGTTACGCAAGTCTTTTTTATGCCACGCAAGTCTACAGTGTGCGCGTGAGACAGTGTGTTCTTCTGTTGTCTTTGACAGCTTTTAGGTACGTTATTGGCAGCGCCACATGAACGCGCCACCACCGCATCAGCACGGAAAACATGTGGACATTTTTTTAAGACAATAATCGCACAACCTATTTGATATTCTAGAATTAAATCAACTAATCGAATATTTGAAAATAGTGACCCATCCCTAATCCAAAACACAAACTCAAATAATATTTATAACAGCTTGATTGAAAATGATACACAATAATATATTCGATAATATTAACCTTTTTAAATTAGATTTATTTTCCATCCACGGCATATGTCTAACATTTCATTTGATTGTCTCCACTGACACTGATGTCTCTGTGGCATCAATGGGGCAAAAAGACACCACAACTGTGGAATAAGACATTTTTGAAAAATTGCTATAGATACATTTCAACCTATAACAAACCAATGACCATTTTGCTCTTTGTTTAGATCATCATAGATCGTTGATCGTTTTTTATGATTCGTTTTTATAGTGAAAATGTAGGTAGAGTAAAACATTAAAATCAATATATAAAAGCCATTTGAAAAGTTGCTAATGCAAATGATGTATAAGGATAAATGATAAACGAGGCATGTATGAACATAAAAATTGACTATAGTAACCACTCAAGTTTCTACTAAAATATCAAACCTACTGGTACTTCTTGCAAAGTCATTTTTGCTAACCTTACGTATTTGGCACATAACTTGCCCCTGTGCTACAGACGTAAACGATGCCTCAACTTTTGTAACGTCAGTCGATCTCTGCTCTATTTTTGGTACAGGCAGGATTTAGACATCCAACACTCTTTGTACCAACCTGGAGTCATTTAAATGTGAGCCAAAATGTAAATTTTTACACTACATGCAAGGACCTTGAACCACCTGTATTTTTACACATTTGGCTTATTAGAGCTCATCACAATCAAGCCAAGTATAAGAATACAAGCCATTCTCTAAAATACAGCCCTGGGACAAACAGTCTCTGTACATAGTGTACCGTCTTTCAAGCAAACCCAAACAACACTAGAGGCGTAGAGATTGAGGCAGAGAGATCTGTAGAGAGATATCTGTAGTCAGTACAGTGAGAGGCGAAGAGGAAGAAAGCCAGGAAACAATTAGGAGAACCAAAAACGATCTACACATTCCCAGAACTGTGAGTGAATTACATCTATAAACAAATTTGATGATGAAGAGATTGCTTAAATGACTCAATGTCATAGAACAGCTTACATGCAGTATTCAAGCCGCTAATGTATATACTGTACAAATATCCAATGTCATGGCCCTTTTCTATTCTCATGATAGCCGTGAATAACGCCTGTTACCATAGCAACAGTGACAAAGTAAATATCAAAGATGTTGACTTGCATAACACCACAATCTAAGTTAATAAATGTTCAATCTATGTTAACAATATAAAAGTCCAATCTAAAAGCGAGGTGTGATGGTGATTTTCACTGAACTCACTCTCAAGATGCAGTTGTGAGTCCTGAAATGCATCACTCTTGTTCAAGAATTGTACTAACCCCTCTAAAACGGAATTAACATCTAAATTTGTGAATTAATGAACGACAATTTTCTTATTGGTCCATTAGCTTGCTGTCGTTTTTATGATTAAGCCATATGACAACTTACCTTGCCATCCTGGTTTGCACTGGCAGCGTTTGGCGGCGCGGTCACACCGTCCCCGCAGAGGGGAGCCGCAGTCAGAGGAGCAGTAGGGCACATCACAGGCCTCTCCTTTCCAGCCGACCTCACATTCACACTGCACAGAGTCACTGGAATTCCCCACACGACACTCCCCACGATCAGAGCAGTTATTTGGGCACATATTCAACCTAGGTAGAGCAGAAAGCCACAGAGAACTCAATGCAACAGGAAATCTCACATCTGTATTGATATACTAGACCAAAACTAAAATGTGCAATTGCTGCATTACTGGCGGAGCTGCAAAAATAAGGATTGTTTCTGGTCTACCATTGTTTGGACAACAATTCCCCGCTAACAGCTCATTTCAGGTAGTCCCACCCCGAACCCACGCCATTGGCTATGACTGAAGTTGATATGCCAGACTGCTCAATCAGAGCAATGTTTTGATAGAGCCACATGTTTACAATTTTCAGGAACAGTGTTGTTATTGTTAACTAGGGCTGGATGACATTAAAGGAAAACCTGTTAAATAATTGTAAACCTACAAGTAAGCGTATTTTATGATAGCAGAAATGGGATAATCAAAATATAATTTAATTAATCTGTGATATTTTTATTTACATTCATTTATAACTTAGTAAATTTTACTTTAATATAAACATTGTTTCATTGGATAACATTGGGCAGGATGTTAAAAAAACAGTATATATATAATTTTTATGACTGAAAATTGATTTTATATTATAAATCTATAGTTTATTTGCTGTTTTACTAAAATACATAATTTAATTAAAATCCAAAAATTAGAATTTTATATGGTGATGTGCCATGGTTTGATCAGCCATCAAAATATAAAATATAGACAACAGTTTAATAATTTTGTAATCTGGAACAGACAAAAGTCCTAATATTATCTGCTTCCAATGTCTGCTGATTCAGACTAACACAATTCATTTTAACAAACATGTTAATTCATAGTTTTCAGTCACGCGACTGGCTCAAAGACCTGGCGGGGGCGAAAAATCCATAGAACTACAGCACAAGCCCCTCAATTTGTTTCCTTTACACAAATATTTAGATCACCTCTCAAAAGGATAAAATAAATCCTTTTGGGGAAGTCGTGGCCTAATGGTTAGAGAGTCGGATTCATAACCCAAAGGTTGTGGGTTCGAGTCTCGTACCGGCAGGGATTGTAGGTGGGGGGGGGGAATGTACAGCGCTCTCTCCCATCTTCAATACCACGACTGAGGTGCCCTTGAGCAAGGCACCGAACCCCCAACTGCTCCCCGGGCGCCGCAGCATAAATGGCTGCCCACTGCTCCGGGTGTGTGTTCACGGTGTGTGTGTGTTCACTGCTGTGTGTGTGCACTTTGGATGGGTAAATGCAGAGCACTAATTCTGAGTATGGGTCACCATACTTGGCCACATGTCACTTCACTTCACTAAATGCACGTTTTGGCCATTTGCAATACATATAAAGCACCCGCCGCAATATTTCAATTAAAAACAGCATGACATTCTAAAACGTTTAATGTGTAAACACTTAAAGTGCCTTTAAAACAGTGATATTAAAAGATCAAATACAGTACACACCTTATTGATGTGTGCTTTATGCAGGCAAGCAGATGAGCTCAGAATATGAACGCAATGCGCTAAAGGTTAAGCGTCTTCTTTATAATGGTTTTCTATGGGAAAACATTTAATATTAAACTTTGAATATTGCGTTTATATTCTGGATTCATCTGCTTGCCTGTGCAAAGTCTGCATCATCAATAAGGTATATACTGAATTTAGCCTTTAAATATCATATTTAAATATTTAAATAAATGTCTTACAAAATTACTATTTAATGCAAACCTCGTAAAAAAATAACTGGTGGTCAGCAGAGGAAAACCTTGTTTTGCCCTCCAGGTGGGCATTCCTGTGGGTGCAACGTTGCATGAAAACTGTGAATACCTACTGCGCTTCCTTATTTAAAGCTTAAAATGTCTAATACATGAATACATAGGCCGCTTTGCATTATTTTTATCTTATCATACTGATTAAACAGGACTGAATTCAGTTTAATGATATTCCTTGCACCCACCACCAGTGGTGGAGGTAACGAATTACAACTACTCACGTTACTGTAATTAAGTCGTTTTTCGGGTACTTTGAGTATATTTTAAAGCTGTACTTTTACTTGTACTTAAGGACAAATTAAGCTAAATAATCTACTTCGTTACTTTTAAATCATAGTTCGTTACGGAGTACGCCCACAATTTGAATTGATTTTCAAACCTTTGATGGCTCTTCAGTAGCCAATAAAGATATCCGATTGTAAAGGGACCAATAACAGCCCTGATATCTGAACCGGGAAGAGCTGATCAGACGGAACTTAGCGTAATTTATGGACTCAAAGTTCGGAAAAACAAACTACATGGTAGTGTCATAAATATCTATATTTTGATACCGATACTGAAATATCTGACACGGTTCCATTACTCATTTTCCACAGTATCTACCGTATATACACCAATACAAGCTGCATCTCTCTTTCCTCTCCGACAGTGAGTTTGACACGCATCCGCCTCCTGTCAATTACAGTCTGAATGTCCACGCGGGATTGCAGGTATTCCGCATAATTTTAATCATTCCCGCGCAAATGTGGCGAGCGCTTTATTGTAACATGAGAACACAGTAATGTAATCGCAGAAAACTGGATGCGAGCTCTCAAACAGGCCTAACTTATACAAATTAACTGCCTGTCCTGTCACTCCGATATTGCTTGTGCACACTCAGACTGTGTGCAATCGCGAGCTCTCCATGCTTTTAAGTAGAAATTAATTTCTCTTTACTCCTGGATTAAACCTTGTCACAAGTTATCAAAATAGATCCACGCCTGACCGATTAAAATCCTAGTGGAAATTTTATTGGCTGTAAGTGAAATGCACCAGAAAGTCTTTCAACAATCAACGATGGAACTTTAATTTCTTTACAGTGTAAGTTTATGCTAGAAATGTTTTGTAATGGGATATTTGTCTGATTTGTACATATAAATATCCTAGTCTGCCTAACTGCATCACTACATTGAACAGACTAGGTAAAAGCCATCTGATGTTCCATTTATCTAAATTAATAGGCCTAACATACTGTATATGGCTCTTAAATCACTGCTTATAAAAATTCAGTGTTGTCATGTTTTGAACATTTCAAACTGCATTGAGGTCATTTGTTTTATAATTGTATTACTGACTGTGTACTTGTCTTTTTTTTGTAAATTCAATTCAGTTTGAAATCAAAGTTGAAATCAAGCTTCCTTGTGCTGTAAGCTTTTGCAACAAAGTTACCCTATATTAAAAGACACAAATACACAGAATGAGCAAATGTTTAAGATTG